GGGGCTCGCACCTGGAAGGCCAGGGCACCGTGCGATTCGAACAGCCGCCACGCATGGGCCACATCCTGCCATTCGATCATGTTCACATCGAAGGGGTCATTGAAGTCGGTGTCCGGATCGCCAAAGAGACTGCCCGGCATGGTGTCCGACGCAACCAGGCTCAGAGAGCTGGAGGTGGGGGCCCCGGAGCCACCCAAGGCCGGGGTGGGCGAGTGGCCAAACACCCCAGTGATGGTCCAGGAGCCGCCGCCACCACCACCACCACCGGCCCCGGCCCCGGCCCCGGCCCCGGCCCCGGGGGACGAGGAAGAGGAGGACAGCGACAGGCGGCTGCCACCGGAGTCCGGCCGGGGCCGGGCATTCGGCAGGGACGGCCGCGAGCCCGGCGTCGCACGGCCAGTGAGCAGGGCAATTCCCGGCGCCACCGGGGCCACCTTCGGATCGTCAACCCCATAGCACAGGAGCCACAGGGCCTGGAAGGCCGAGTCCTCGGTGCCCGGCACGTCGCCGGCCAGGAGCCGGTGCGTGGCACACGCCAGCGACGCCTTGGCCGCCAGCGTGGGCGCACGCTGACAGAGCATGCGCGTGCCGAGCCCGGCCGCCAGGACCTCCAGCCGCCGGACCGGATCCAGCAGGACGGCCAGCCCGTCGGCCGCCGAAATGGCCCCCAAGATGGACGGGTCGGTCACCGAGGCCAGGAAGTCGTCGGAGATGCGGAAGTTCTCCGGGTCGGGGATGGCATCCGGGCCACCGGCGGCCGCCACCGCCGCCGAGTGGATGGCCGTCACAATGACCTCGTAGTAGGAGTAGAAGAACCGCGACACCAGGTCATAGACCGTGGTCGCGTGGTAGTGCGTGCTGCAGAAGGACGGCTCATACCCGAGGGACAGCCACTCAAGCAGGGTGCACACGTAAAACAGCACCAGGGCATAGTCCGAGTCGCCGTTGTCCACCGGCGCCTCGGTGGCCGGCTCCGGGGCCAGGGGGGCCGCCTCGGCGGCCGGGGCTCCGGCCCCGGCGCGCGGCCCCGGCGGCGAGTCCTCCATCAGGGACACCGTGGAGCGATACCGCCGGACCAGCGGGGGAGGGGAATTGCGCGGCGAGAAGCCCGACGCCGCCGAGCCGGTGGACGACAGCGATGCCAGCGACTGCGACGAGGAGGAGGTCCGCAAATGCAAGGACCCCGACGAGGGCGAGGAGGGCGCCAGGCGCACGGACCCGGCCGACAGCTTGCGCGTCAGGCTGCCACCGGCGGTGGCGGCGCCGGCGCCGGCGACGGCGTCTGCCCCGCGTGAGGGAGACGCTTCGGCTCCGGAAGACTCGGGCCCACCGGTGGGCGGGGCTCCAGGGGCACCGGCAGCCGGGGCGGCGGCGGCGGCGGCGGCGGCGGCGGCGGCGGCGGCCGAGGTCGCTGCCGCCGATGCAGCCACCGTTGCTAGGGCGTCCACGATGTCCCGGACCGAGCGCTCCAGCAGCACGATGGCCACCGGATCGTCCTCGGGATCGCGGCCGGAGGCACATGTGGCCAGACAGGCGCATAGCGTGTGCAAAAACTACACCACATGGCCGCGCGCGGTGGCCCGGCAGGGGCCGGGAAGCAGGTGTCAGATGGCTAGCAGTGAAGGAGCAAGGTGACGGCAGAGAGGGACGGAGAGGGAGGGAGAGGGAGGGAGAGAGATGAAGGCAGACACAAGGGCGGATAGAGGGACATCGAAGGCCACCCCGGGGAGCCCCCTTTCGCTTGACCCCCCCCCTCCCTCCTTCTCCCGTGTGCCGACAGACGCGAGTGGCAAGACCCAGGGGAAGAAAGGGGGACAGAGACGAGGGCGAAGAGAGGGAGCACGCACCCGCTCCAGCAGGATGAAGGTCGGCGGCAGCATGCCGGTGTCCACAAGCTTGCCGCTGCTGGTTGACGGGGCCAGGAGACCGGCCAGGGCCCCAGACCCGCCCGGACCCCCGGAGGCCGTGGAAATGACGGACACCGGGCGCACCCCGCGCCCGGAGGAGGTGGGAATCGGCTGGAGCGTCTCGCCGCCGGCCGCTTCGATGGACAAGGCCTGCAGGGCCACCGCCGAGGCCAGGTGCCAGCCGAGCCACACTCCGAAGGCCGGGTGGCCAAGGAGAACACGCTGCGAGGCCGGCGTCGACAGGGCGCCCATCAGACCGCCCGACGGGGGGGCCGCCCCGCCGCCCCCGCCCTCGGAGAAGGACAATGTCGAGGACGAGGGGGAGGCATCGCCGCCGGAGGGACGCCGACCGGTAGGACCCGTCGGCGACCGTGCCGACAGAGCCGGATTCGATAGCGACAACTTCGAGGAAAGCCCAGCCAAGCTGGAAGGCGCCGGAGAGGAGGAGGAGGAGGACCCGGAGGAGAGGGACGACTGCGAGGCCGAGGCCGAGGCCGAGACCCCGGTGGACATGGAGGCCGAGCGCCCGGTTGACACGGCGGCCGGGGCCGGGGCCGGGGCCGGGGCCGGGGCCGCACCCGCTCCCGACACGGGAGCACTCCCGGCAGAGAGCAGCGACTCCGAGCGCGACCGGCTGACACTTTGGGCAGCCGCGCGTGGCTGTGTGGCCGCCGCAATGCGCTCCGCCTCGGCCGAGCCAAACAGATGCCGGCGAAGAAGACGCGGCACCGACGGGTGCAGGCCGGAGGATGCATGCAGAACCGCCTCCGACAGGAGATCCAGCGACTGGGGCAGGGCATGGACCGCGCGCGCCAGGACCCCGCCAGCCGCCGGGGCCGAAGACTGGCCCACCCCGAGGCCGAACCCGCCCCAGGCATCTTGCGAATTGTCGCTGGTCACCGCGCACAGGGCTTGGATCAATGCGTCAAGGGTCAGCGGCCCGGGGGCCGCCGCGGCCGGGCCGTCGCCGGTGGAACCCGAGGAGGAGGCTGCCGCCGCGGCCCCGGGCTCGGCCGACAGGGATGACAGGAACCCGGTCAGGCCATGCTCATTGACCACGACCCCGGCGCGCTGCGGCCTGAGGACCCGGTCGACAAACTGCGAGGGCCGGGGGAACTTGGCCACCAGCATCGAGGTCCCGGTGATGTCATTGCGCACGTATGTGCCAGCCGCGCCGGCCGCCACGCCGGCTGCCTGTGGCCGGCCGTCCGGCCCGCGAGGAACCGTGTGCCGTGCGGGGACCGAGTCCTCGCGCTCCTGAACCGGCGCGAAAGACGAGACGTCCGACTGAAAGAGGACGTTCCGCAAGGCCGAGAGGGTGGCATTGACGGCCGATGGACCGGAGGCAGAGGAGGCTGCTGGGCCGGAGGAAATGCCCAACTCAGCATCCCAGTCCTGGAGGCAAGCAGGAGGGAGGAAGGCCGGAGTGTCAGCAACAGCCTTGGCGGTCGCGAGAAAGAGAGAGAGAGGGAGGGAGAGAGGGAGAGAGCAAGAGAGCAAGAGAGCAAGGGAGCAAGGGAGCAAGAGAGCAAGAGAGCAAGAGAGAAAGAGAGAAAGAGAGCAAGACAGATAACAGATACGCAGAGGAGGGGCGGAGCACAGGAAAAAGGGGAGGGAGCAAGGGCCGACGTACCTCGAAGTCGTCATCGTCCTCCTGGAAATCGGCCAGCGAGCCGCGCCCGGCTCCGGCGGTGCCGGACCCGGGCAGTGTGAGGCCCCCGGCACCGCGCTCTTTGGCCGCGATCTCCGCATCCCAATCCTCATCGAAGTCGTCCAGATCATCGAGGGCATTGTCATCGCCGGCGCCGGCGCCGGCGCCGAGGCCGAGCGACAGCCCGCCAAACGGACCGCCGCCGGAGCCAGTGGCAAAGCTCCCGGCGAAATCATCATCGCCATCCTCGGACTCGGCAAAGTCATCCAGGACAGAGGCCCGCGGTGCGGGTGCCTTGGGCCCGGCCATCGGCAGGGCCAAGCGCAAGCCGCCAGCCGGCGCCGCATCGTCCGAATCGAAGAACGCATCGTCCGACAGGCTGGCATTTCCATCGCCCAGGCGCATGGTCAGCCCCCCGCCGGAGGCCCAGTCCGAGTGGCTTTCGGAATCCCCGCCGGAAGCCGGCGACAGGGATGCCAGCGAGGAGCAAGACTCGGCACTCAGGCCGCTGCTGTTGCCGGCCGACAGGGAGGAAGCCGAGGTCGAGCCCCAGAGCGATGACTGGCCGCTGTCGCTGATGTCGGTGGCCAGGGCCGCCGGGGGGAGGGCCGTCGACTCGGCCCCCAGGCCGGGAACATTGAACCCGTCACCGGCCAACACCGAGTGCCGGATGAAAGCCAACGGAGGGGGAAGAGCCCCGCCGGCGGCAGATGCTGTCACAAAGTGGTCGTCGGCGGGCAAGGGGCGGGCACAGCCACCGGACACCGGGCGCCAAGGGAGGAGGGGGGGGGGGGGGGGAAGCGAGCCGGCACAAAGCAAAGCGAAACAAACGAGCCGAGAAGGTGAGCAAGAGCCCGCTTAAGCAGGACAAAGTGGCCAGGGAGATGGCGGTAGGGGCATCGGCCCGAGAGGAGGCACGCGACAGACGCACTGGTGGACCGTCGGCTGAGGGATGGCGAGCCAGCAGCCGGGGAGTTGGTGGCCCCGGCCAGGTGGAACCCCGGCAGGCCGGCCGCCGGGGCGTGCTGGTCCGGGGTGGCGTGGTAGGTGGACTGGGTGCGGCCATGGCCGGGGCCCGACCGGCGGGTGGGCCCGCGTGCGGCGCGCACGCTGGTCGTGCTGCGCGAGGGGGTCAGCCCGCCGCCGGTCGAGGCGCCGGACCTGCTGCCGGAAAAGGCCGGCAGGGCGAAGCCCCCCCCGGTGGAGGCAGGCGAGTCGAAGTCAAAATCGTCATCCCAAGACTGGAGGTCATTCGGATTGGACGCCCGGCCGACCAGGACCGGGGGGGCGGCCCCCGAGCCGCCGGCCAGCGCGGGCAGCAGGCTCGACGGCGATTGGATGGGGGTGCGCGGGCGGGGGGTGGCTGTGCCGCCGCCGCCGGTGGCGGTGGCGGTGGCCGCCGCGGTCACGGCCGCACGCAGGACCTGCGCCGCCGGCGGGCTGGCCGGCAGGAGGTCCCCGCCGAAGGGCCGCACCGGGGCCGCAGCCGAGACGGGCACCGACACCGGACCCGGCGCCGTGCCGGCCCAGGGATCGGCCTCGGTCTCGGTCTCGGTCCCGGACGCCGAGAAGTCCCCGTCCGAGGCCGAGGACGATGTCAAGGACCAGCTGCTGGAGCTGGAAGACAGCCCATCGCCGGAGGGCTGCGACGCCTCGGCCGGGGAGGGGCTGGTGGCCGGGGCGCTGGCCGCGCGGGCCCCGGCCCCGCGCGACGTGCGCACAATGGTCCCGGTCCGTTGGAGCCGCGGCGTGATGGTGACCGGCGTGGGGGAGGGAGCCGGGATCGGGGTCGCGGCCGGGCCGGGCGTGGCCGGGGCACTGGCGAGGGCGGCCCCGGCGGGCGTCGGCCCGAGGGCCGGCGACACGGTCCCGCTGCCGGAGTCAAAGGCCTCGTCCCAATTGGAGCCGTCACTGTCCTCCTCGGCGAAGCGGTCCAGCAGGGAGGACGCCGCGGCGGTGGCCGGGGCCCGAGTCAGGGAGGCCGGACCGACAGCGATGGGAGCATCGGCGGCGACGGCGGCCACCGGCCGGAGACCCCCACGGCCGGCGCCGCCACCAAGGGCAAGCCCATCAGCCTCCCCACCGAAAACGAAGGAGGCATTCCAGTCCTCAACGTCGTCGGTCATGTTGCCTCAGGCAGGGAGAGAAGGCGGCCGGGCGAGGTGGGGGGCGGGGGGATGGACAAGCAAGGGGCGAGAGATGGGGGGTGGAGGTGGAAAGAGAGAGAGAGAGAGGGGGGGGGGGGCTGACTGAGGGCCGGAGAGCCGGGAGTCAACGTGTGGCGCCGGCGGCAGGACAGCCGGGGAGTGGGGCGGAGGGCGGGGAGACACACAGGCAGTGCGTGAACACATGCGCGCTCACAAACTACACCCACACACTCACGCACGCACGCACGCACACACACACACACACACACACACGCACACACAGAGATACAGATACAGACACACGCGCTCGCGCTCACACGCTACCGCCCGAGGGGGAGAGAAGGATGGGAGGGGGGAGGGGGCGTGCGGCGCCGGGAGGCGGGTGTTGGCCCCCAGGGATCGCGGGGCGCGGTCAGGGCCGGCGCAGGCGAGCGGCGAGCGGGGGGAAAGGATGCGGGTGCAGGTGCGGCGGAGGGGGGGGGGGGGCGGGGAAGAGAGGAGGGGAGGGGGGAACGGGGAGAAAAGCAGTGCCGCGGCGTCGGCGAACGGCCGGCCGGCGATCAGCCTCAGGCGCTTTGAATGTGCCCGCCGGGTGGCGGGGCGCACCGACGCCGGCCGGCCGCTCCCCGGGGCCCGGGGTGATGGGGGCTGCCAGCGCGATGGTGTGGCTCGCCGCTGCGGCGCGCCAACCAGCCCGCGCGCTTCGGCGAAGGCCCATCCATTCCCGGCGGCTGTACAGCCCCCCGGCCAGGGGGGGGGGGGGGGGGGGGGTGGAGAATGCACGCCCTTTGGCCACAGGGCCGCGGGTGGCGTACTCTGGCACCCCCCCCGCCCCCCCCCCCGCCCCTGCCTCCCCGAGGGTGGGGGGGCAGCAAGGACGACGGCCAGTGCCGGCAGCGGCGATGGTGCTGCCAGCTGTGCCCTGCCCCGGTCGGACCCGGGGAGTCCGCGCCCTTTCCGGGGCGCTGGTGCCAGCTCTCCGGCCCGGTGCGTGGCCGCCCGCGGTCCTCAACCACCTCCAGGCCCCTGCGTGCCGGGGGTCGGGGCGACTAGGGGGCGCTGCGGTCCGTGCCCTCGCCCCCCTTCCCCCCCCCCCGGCCGGGTGGCGGTTGTCAACCCCACCCGGCCCTCTTCCCCCCATCGGCAGGTCCCCGAGGTGCCGCCAGGCCCACAAACGCGTTGTTCACGCCCGCCCACCCAAGTCCCAGGGGGCGGAGCAGGCCGAGGGACAGAAGGGTAAGACAGGCCGGCGGGCCAGCGGGCGCGCGCGCGCGCGCGCGCTCATGCCTCGCATTCTTTCGCCCACGCCCGGGGACAATGCGCGGCAGGCCGACCGGCCGGCGCGGGCTCGCCCGGTGAGCCACCCTCGGAGCTAGCCCCGCCGACCGAGCTGGCGAGAGAGAGAACCAGGACCCCCAGGCCGAAGGGCAGGCAGGGACGAAGGCGGCCCCGCTGCTGCGCGTGAACACGACAAATGTCGCGTCCAGCGGTTTCCCCGTCTGCCGGGCGGGGACAGACCGAAAAGCATGTCCCGCCCCCGCCGCCGTCCCGGCGTCCGGCCGAGGCACGGCCAGTTCAGGAGCCGGGGGAGATCGCCCCCTGCCCCCCCAGGGCTGCTCTGGGCGGCCAAGCGACCAGAGTCGGGCTGCTGTTTTCTCCGCCCAAGGGCGCGGCGACCGGGAGCGCCATACAAATCTCCCCCCCCCCTCCGCGCCCGTGCACAGCCGCCACCCGGGCGCCCGGTGTCGGCCGCACACCCCCGGCCCGGCGGGCGTCCCCCGGGGGCAGGTGTGTTCGCGAAAGAGGTGGACCGGCGCGCGCACGCACGCGCGACCGACCGAGCCGAGAGAGCGCGAGCGGCCGCCTCCTGCCCACATGCACCCCCCCCCCCCGGGCCAGGCAACACACGGCGACGCCGAAAGTGACACATTCTGTTTGGAGCATTTCCGCGCGGAACCCGATCGGCGCCGCCGCCGCCGCCGCCGCCCGGGCCCGACATTCTTGCCAACAACACCGGGAATACACACGACAAGGAGGTGTCTCCCGTTACTGGGAGTGCCCCCCCC